GAATTTGAGAAGGGGTGGGGGTGTGTGGGAGGAGGTGAGAAGAAAGGAGTTAGAAATGGTGTAAATACACTGTCATAAATGAAGTTGCCTCCAAAATTTAACAAAGAAAACATAAATATAAAAAGAGGGAAAGACCCTATTCATTTTTTGGTAACAAAATGAAACTGGACTTGGACATACTTGTTTTAATTAGTTCTATTAGTGCAATTGTCAGCAATTGAACTCAGGATTTTCTGCTTGCTCATTATGCACTCAGACAGTAGGCTACATGCTAGCCCCTGAAGTTGTATAATGTATAAACACTATACTGTGGTTTTACTGAACAGCTTTTTAATGTCACAAAATGGGAGTGAATTACTGGCTCCTGGAATAGTGGATATAACAATGGACTTGATATTGCTTTTAGTTTTTAAGATTGTTTGCTTTGATTTTACAAAATATGAGCATTGTGTCTGCATATGTGAACCACCACATCAAATCTGTGGAGATCAGAAGAGGTGGGATTCCCTGGAACTAGAGTAACAGAGGATGGTGTGAACTAACATGTAGATGCTAGAATTCAACTCAGATCCTCTACATGAGCAACAAGGTCTTTCATTGCTGTGCCATCTTCCCAGCCCTCCAAAAATTTTGTTTTACTGATGGCACATATAATATTATAATTTGTAAATATTTCAAATATATGAAAGTAATTGGTGAGAAATACAATATTTTAAAATTTTCTAGGATAGTTTCTTAAAACATTATTATTTGACTTTAAAATCTCTAAATATATGAAAGTAATGGTCCAAAATGAAATATAAATAAGAGCAATATGAAAAATTATGTTTTCTTTGCTACTTTCAAGTGCTTTTCATGTAAATTACTGAAACTTGTAAAAGAAGTTGTTTAAAAATATTCTAAATGTCTAGTCATTTACTCAAAATAGTTGGGACTTGCAATTTTCTTTATGATACATATTTTTACCTTAGCCCATTTTGGTGGTTCCTTCAATGAGATTTCCTTTTCAGTGGAGGCTGATGTTTTGTTAATGTATTTTGTGCAATGTGTGTTCACATGTACATTATTAAATCCTCAGAAATCTGTTTCATGTCTTTATAAAAGTCTTCAACTGATTGCTTATAATACTTTAAAATTTAATAGCTCACCTAGGGACATGTTTACAGAAAAGTACAATTAAAATATCTTAAAAAATTTTCTCACATATTTTGAGTCCTAATATATTATCTCTTGTATCACCATTTTCATCTGCTTCATGTATATATATATATTATTTTCCAGTCTTAGATGCGGAAGATATATCCCAGATTTGAAATAGCTGTCCAATACAAAGGAGGCATAGGGTTGGAATTCATACTGAGAATTAGCCAAACTTTAGATTTTGTGCCATATCATAACTTCTCATGGATAAATGGAAACCAGAGGGAAGGGGCCATTATATAAGAGAAGGCATGAAGTTCAGCTGAGATTGTTACATCTTTCACAGAAAGTTCACTTTTTATGTGTAATTTTTGCCTGTGGGGACCGTATTCTAACAACCATGTGACCTCAGTTTGTAGACAAAGGTCAATAACTAAGTTTAGTATGACCTAGATGCAATCAATTAAAATTGATTAAATCGGTAGCAATTTTACAGTGGAAAAAATAAAGACATGAGTGTTTGGAAGGAATGAAGGCTTAGTAGACATCTAGACCACATCACTCTGCCACTGTTCTTCAGTGTCTTTGCAATATATGAAAATACCTTGATTCTTTAAATCACAGTGCTAAGCAGTATGTTTTCAATTTGAAGTAGTCTAGTTTTACTTGATTTTTTCATAAAATATGACTTGGTTTTTATGACCCATCTCTTTATTCAGGGATTCACTCTACATATATATCCTTTACCTTTCCATATGCTTGTAATCTCTTTTCTACAATGGCAATAATTAACTTTAAATTGGTTTATTACTGTAAGATCACCTTTATATTTGTGGAGTCTTGTCAATAACTTCTATCCTATTGAATTTGTTATGTGAATAAATACTCAAAAATTATTTTTAATAAATCTATTAGCATATGTATCATCTTTTATATGAAATTGAAAGACAATAAGTACTTGAAATTAGAAACTTAGGTGGTAATTAAAACAAAGCATTCAAATGCCTTGAGATGTTTGCATTAGCAACAGTGAATAGTAAATATTAGGAAAGAGAGTGGCTATATATATGTATGAACACACATACACATTTATTTCAATGAATTTTGTCATGTTTAAATACATTTACAGAGTCATTTTGAAAGAATATAACCATTACTTGTAAAGAATTCATAATTTTATTCATTATTTGGATGTGTAAGTTGTTAAAAGCTATTAAAATTTTATATCCTACAACAGTAATTGCATTATTTAGCTAAATTTTTACTGATGATATTTATTTTAGAAGGAAATATTATTAGGAAAATAAACAGAGCTGTTTAATCAAAATTTTTAATTATAACTTAGAGTTCAGTTGTAGTGTTTTACACTTTCAATTTTTACTTTAATTTATATGTAAAGATGTTTTCCCCTCTACATATGATTATGCACCACATATGTGCCTGGAACCCTTGGGTACCAGAAGATGGCATCCTATTTCCAGGATCCAAGTTAAATTTGTGACCTGTTTTGAGCATGCCTGGAATTGAACCACAGTCCTCTGCAAGAGCACTGAGTACTCTTAGCCACTGAGGCACCTTTTCAGTCCATTGGACACAGCTTTATGACTATCATTTCCTTAGATATTTTTAATGAATAGTGTTTACTAATGCTATTTTAAAGTAGCCACTGCTAATTAGATTTGTAAGGAAGGAAAAACACTGGCTTTCAAATCAGGATTGCAATCAAATATATATATTTTAGGGTTGCTTTCAAAGCCTTTTAGGAAATGACACATTAATCATCTTGACAAATCACATATACTACATTTCCAATTTTCCAGAATTATTTATTGATTTTTTAGATGGTGACTTGGAAATGAATGTTGAAATATCTCTGTTGAGGTTCTTCTCTAACCCCTGTGAATTCCAAGAGTGTGTTAGTGTGATAGCAACTAGTAACAACTGCAATAATTAAGGTCCATATGAAAGCTGAACTTCTTAAAGCTTTGTGTCCTAGATTTTTATTAACGTGTTTGCACTCCATGTAATTTATGCTTTACCTATAATGACAACAACTTTTCCCTTAGCACAAATCCCAACGTTGGATTAGAAACTATAGTAACTGTAAGTGATACACTTTTGAGTATCTTATATCTGTGTGGAACGTCACTGATGCTAGAAGCTAATTTGTGATACTACTAGTTTATTTCAGCTACCTGTTTGCCCACTACTTGTGAATTAACTTGCTTTTTGTTTGTTTGTTTTGTTTTTTGCTTCTTGTTATATATTTTCAAGGCAACTTTATCAATTTTAACATGTAAATTCTTTAAATTCTAATTATAATTAATACTAGATTATGTAGTACCCAGTCTTTGTACCGATGTACTGGAAATAAAGCCAAACACCACAAAATTTTCCATACCATAACACCAAAGGGTCAGTGAAACATTCTGTTACTACTATGATGATCTGAGCTTGGGTTTCCAGCCCCCAAGCTGGGCATGACTATAACCCTAAAGCTGAAGGTGTGGAGACACATGGATCCTCAGGGTTAGTTGGCATAAACAGTCTAGCCAAAACAGTGGGCTCCAGTTTCAGTGAGAGACCCTGCTGTGAAAATTAAGGTAGGTAATCACTTCGTACACTCTTCCTTGGGGAAGACTTTCTTTCTTCTCTGCCTTCCTTGGTTGACTATGGTTCTTTATGCATCATTGAGGCCCTGTCTACTTTGGCATGTATGAAAAAAGAAACATGAATTTGAAGGAGAGCAGGGAGAGGTATATGGGAGGAGTTGGAGGAAAGAAAGCTGTTGTTTTTCTGCGTGTGTAGAAGCTGTACCTGAATCTATTGCTGTTTTAACCAGTAACTGCACAGTTCCTGGCCCTCTTCTCAGGCAGTTCCAAGTGGGATTTTTATGTCCCATCTGCCTTCTGCCACTGTCACCAAATGTTTTTAATTAAGCTCCTGTCACTCTATTTATCAATAAGACTCGGGAGTCAGAGGCTAAAATGAAAAGTTGCTGGCTCAGATAGGCTGAGGAACAACCACCTGACCTCTTCATCAACATCTTGAAAAAAGAGTGTCCCTGGGCTCTATCAAACCTAAAAGAACTGCCACACTCAAAGGCCCTCCCTCCTACTTTCTGTGAGTCTCTCTATTTATTTTCCAGACTCTTTCTTATTCTCTATGATTACATTATTATCAACTAGATGCTGGCTCTGCCTCCTGACCCAAGGTTGATTTTTATTTAATTAATGCAAATGGAAACTTGGGGTTCACAATATAATCATATATCCCACAACCAAAAGGGAAACAAATATGTTATAATTATACTATAGTCTCAAAAAAAATTAAGGTGGATGATTAGATAGCAATATATGGAAGTCAATGCTTGGACTCTACAACACAGCTGAGTGAATATGCATTTACATATGTATGAATGAAAGTGAGTACAAACATGCATGTAAACACAATAAAATTTAAAATGAACACTGCTTTAAGAGATATTATCAGAATAATTCTATGTTTCTCCTTAAGACCCTTTGTATTTTCTTGTATTTAAGTTGCACGGGTAGGACATTGTCACTTCATAAGTACCTCTGGCTCATTTTCATACAAAGGCAAGCCACACCCCATTTTGAACATAGGGTGTTACTGCATTCTATAGGGCAGAGTTCATTGAATATGAAAATTGCTTAGATCATTACATGGTTTTCTTTCACATATATTTATTTAAAAATATATGAGTGTTTGCTATATTTTCATATTGGGGCCTAGTGACATTTTCTATCTGGACAACAGAATGATCATATTAGTCTTTAGATAGAGCTTCCTCTTTCTAACTATGAACAGTCCATGTGGGCTACAACTTCACCACTTACCTCTTTTGGAGCATCAGCTACAATGAATTCAGAGTAAATCATCTTGGCTTTGGTAGCAATCTTTTCTCTACTTTCTGTTTTCTTGAAGTCTTCACAGGCAAGCCAGAACTCAACATTTTCTTCACTAAATTCTGATTTTAGAAATGTTCGGAAAGCATCCAAACCAGCTACAAAATATTTAAGAAAGCTTTGCATCATCTAAAAGACACTAACATTCCCCATATAAGTCCATTGCATCAAATGAGAATTTATCAAATGTTCAGTGGCAAATACTTAATCATCCAGCCTAAAGTAACATTTACAAAGTATCAATTCCAAATTAGTAAACTTAAGTTTGAGGAGTAATCATAGGTCCAAAATATTTCCATTTATTCTTTAAAAATTAACTTTATTAACAAGAAAATCTACACTTTCTATTTCTAGATTTGACTTACATTTCAGAGAATGTCTTGATGACTACTGAGTAGGAAGCCCCATGGGCTACTGAACTGCTTAGCTCAAGTTAATTATGTTATAATAACCAGGGTAAGAATCCATTTCTTTTCTATAAGACATAATTTGAAGCTGAGGGGAAAAAAAGCTATGTTGGTTTGGGCTCAAAGGAGAAGCGGCAATGCTGACCTAAAATGCTTTGTGGTTACTATATTGGATAAATATGTTCATTAAGCCAAAAAGTAAACTGGGGTTGAATGCTTATTCTCTTCTTTTTTGTTGATGGACAATTTTAATTCTAAAAGCCAAATAAGGGAGTATGCCCCAATGTTTCTTTAAGCAATGTACTTAATGTGAAATGTCTCATATACTGCTTCACAGATTTTCTTGTGAGCATGCATTTCTCCTTGATCTGCATAGGAGCATACTTGTAGGCTCATTTCCTTTGACCTGACTAGAATTTGTATTTGTAGAAAAAAAATCAATAATCCAAGTCATATCTTTAACCTATAATACCATATGTCTTGAAATATGCACCACAATACATTGCTTTGATAGATTTTTTTAGTACTCATCAAAATGTGCCTTGCAGAACATATCCCCCGTGGAGGGATAACTGCCTTAATCTAGAGACAGGAGAGAAGCCCTAGTCCCTACTTCACAGGACCTGTCAGATCTACATGACCCCAACTGGATGGCATTCCCCTACATATGGAATTGGGGTGGGGGGATGGGAGGGGAGGGTGGTTAGAGTGCATGTGAGAGGGCAGAGAGGCTAAAAGGGAGGGAGGGAGAGATGGGGGGAGGGAGGGAGGGAGAACTGGGATCGATATGTAAAATAATAAATTAAAAAAAATGCTTTGACTCCAAAATTTAAGTTGAAGGACAAGTTACTGGGGAAAAGGATTTCTATTTTTGTTTCCACAGAAAATGAAAAGCTGTGGATTCCTTCCAGACTAATGTGGTTTGATCACTCCAGACCGCCTGAAACAGAGTAGGAGGTGATCCTACATTCAAAACAGCTGAACAAAACAGCCCTACAGACTACAGCCAGGATATCTGAATCTTCTTCGAATCCCCCAAGACAGCGCCCCTTATCAGCAGGAAGTAGTTTGGAAAGAACGATGCCCAAATTCCCAAATATTGTGTATAAATGTTTGTTTTCATTTAATTGGACTTTGTTATATAACATTAAATAAAAAAAAAGGAAAAAAATGTGCCTTGCAGAATTCTTTTGTGAAATATCTACAGCTAATTGTAAACGGTGGTTCTTGCTGAAAGTGTTGAGCTAAGTATGGTTGAGAGTATGCCCATAGCCATGTGCTATGTTAGAAACATTATGTTTAGACCTCCTATTTTGACTAGACTGTTCTGGTATCTTAAGGTCATAGTATTCAGGTTTGCAGTTAGCATTTTGGCAGATAGACTTGTAAGTGTGGCTTTATGTCTGATAAGAAATATGTTTTATCAGGGCTTTTGTCACTTGAGACTTTGGTTTCTAAAACACTTGTGGTTTTCTCCTCCATTTGCCATAAGGGTCCCTTTGCAGATACTCAGAGTACTTGTTTCTTCATGGCATGCTGAGAGAATTACCCCCAGTCTCTCAGCACCTGAAAGAAGAAAGCTTATTGAAATATAGGGGAATGAAAGATTGACTGGAAAAAATATGAAAGAAATAGGACCTGTCAAATTTTTATAGGTTGCTGCATGTGGGAAACAAAAGTGAAATTTAACAATAAAATAAAGCATAGCATTCTAGAACAAAATCTCATGTCTAAAATGCTGAATAAAAGTGGCATAATGTTTTTATTATGTGAAGTAATGTAAAAATGGAAATTCATTGTAAAATTATAATATACTAATTAAAATTCTTAGAATAAATGTCAGAGAGGGTGATTGTCATTAATGAATGAAATTTATTATTAACTATATGGAAATTAACTGTGAACTAAACTTCTCTGTCATAAATTTAGATGCTAAAGTTTGTAGTAAAAGGTAAAATTTTCCCTGAAAATCCAAATTGTGATGAATTTTTTGAAATCTAAAGATATTAGATAAAGTATTCTTTAAAAATGAAAGAATACTTCAATTTTTGTGTGTTGTTGGGGCATATGAAGCTTTTCTTCTGAAGGAATGTGTGAATGCATCCTAGAGAGATGAATGTTGGAAATCAAGAAATGATCTTGTTTTCTTCTGCTCTTCAGTTTCTAGGAAGGCCTATACTGAACCACAAATTCCTTCCATATCTTAATTTGCATCCAAGGAGCAAAATAAACAATTATTCTGGGGTTAGGAAGCTCTGTCCAGTATTCAGTATTTCATTGACTTGCTCTTCTTTTCTAGAAACATTTTAATTTGAAAACATCCCAGGTGAGTCTGCCCTAACACATTATATGCAACAAAATCCGTTCTTGAGAACAATGTTCAGGATGGAATGGCTTTATTTATTTAGAAGTCATACAAGACATAATGTAGTACATAGACAGTAGGAATAGAAAATTATCAGCAAAGTTGTCAAAAATATTTAAGTAGTTTGCTAGTCCATTAGGTGCTTAAAGGGTTACAGATAAAATACAGCACCATTAATTATTTTGTTTTTACAAAAACCAACCAAATAGCTATTTAGATGAATCTATAGCTTTGCTTTTTAAATTGAGTGTTAAATAAATGACCAGAAAGTATGCATATGAGAATAATTGTCTCCATCTTAGGACCCTCCTCAGCTGTGTTCTGCAGTGCTGCACAAAATTCATTTCCTCTGCAGTCCCCACATGACATGCAGCAGAGGGACTCTAAAAGACACTTAGGAAATGGCTTGTTCTTTTGGTCACACTGGAAGAATACAAGGAACTGCCCATTCCAACTTAAAAAAAAAGCTGTTTCATATTCACAGCTTTAATGAGTACCTTTACACCTGAGCTGTAGGTGGATTGTTTCACAAACTTCTTTAGTCAATGAAGATAAAATATTCAGAGTATCTTAAAATATTTATTTCAATCTAACTTTAAGTATGAGTAAACAGCTGTACAGACTGTGCCTGATTTTTATTATTTTAAGCGTTTCCCATGCTTTATTAATCTCAAACAGAATGTCATTTGGTGAATATACTACAATATGCTCTATTTGTTATTGTAGTCCCACCTTTTCCTCTCTGGATGACCTGAATTTACTGTGAAGTAGATTGTTTATAAATCAAACAGAAAGTATTCTTTGTGACTATTTTGTGCAAAATTTCATGTCAATACCGAAGTATTTTATATGATTGGTCACAATTGCTGTATTGAACCCTGCTTTTAGATATAAACACATATGCATTAATAAAAATGAAATGTCATTATGTTTACTATTGTTGGTAGTTTGCATATTTTTCAGTTTGTACCAATGACAAACAGGGATTAAATACATCAAATAATGGGCTAAGAAAATGGCAAGCTCTTTGAACTTGAACTTTTGACAAACTTAATTTAGTCTCAGACTAAATCTTTTTTGACTCTGGGTCCTTAAAATTTTATGCTTCAAATGCTGATAAATATCATACTTCATAAAATACTTCTCATTTTCCAGGTTTAATGAATTATGCTTAATTATCATCTTTAAAAAGCACAATTGCTTGAATCTTACCTTTGTTAGCTAAGAGTGAGTCCATATTTTCCGACCATGCCAGTGTTTCTGTAGTTGGAGACCTGTAGAAACAGCATCTAACCTTGACAATAGCATTGTGATCTTTTTCTTAGATAATTTATAGTCAACCTTAAGCTGAAGAAAATTTTTTTGAATTGCATCAATAAAATGAGCCAATGACAAAACAGGAAGATGTCAACAAAAGTTATATCATATTTCCAATGTGTAAAGTCATAACAATATAATGTGGAATATAATTTGATATCTGGAAACTATTTTTCAATCTAGTCAACTGTTAATATTTGTAAATATTGAAATTAATGGCACCAGGGATATATTGAATAGCAATTATACATTTTTCTGATTATACTGTTAATTATGTGTCACTTTGTTCTGAAAAAAATCTCCTGATTAAAATAAAAAAAGAATGATTATTTTAAAGTTTCCCTACCATACAAATATACCTGTTTAACAATCATGAACATTTAGAAAGTGAAAAATTTTTTTAAAGGTTTCTAATTTGATGTTATGGATGGTTTGATTTTAGTATTTCTCTGTGTTTACTCTATGCTGAATAATATTTTATTCTTCTTAGGCTGGTACAGTAGTTCTGAATTGATTTATATAAATGTAGGAATCTGTCAAGAGTGTGCAGCAAACTGTTTCTGAACTAAAATTTTCTGAAGGAGATATGCTTTTGAGGATATTATATAAAATGATAAATCAGCTTTAATATATAATCTTTGTGAGATACAAATATATCATATATTACTTCTCTTAACAGATAGATATTCTGATGAAACTATCCTCTATCCTCAGGAAGCTATTTCTAGCCAAATAGTTTGATTATGTAAGGGGCAAACTTATTTAAGTAATATATTAAAACAATTGAAAATGGTCTCACATCTAGCCATACTTGTAAAATGTTGTTTTGTATATCAAGATGCTAATCCTAAATATGGTTTTGTGAAGTCCTCATTATTCTTTTGTAGTTCTTTGTTTACTGCAGACTTTATAAATTTTTGTAAAGGATTGAATGTGTTTCATCACTGTTTGAATATCAGCTGAATTATCATATGATAATAATAATACTGAGAAAGCATATAATAATAATAATACTGAGAAAGAGAGGCTGCTTGGTATTCATTTTGTTCTCTTCTATTACTGATGTTTTCTGTCTCAAATTTCCTTCCTAAGTTATGTGCCTCAGACTTCAATGTTTCCTCCTCACAAAGGCATAGTTTTTCTAGGAAACTTTCACAATAGTGGTCTCTAATTGAACTAGGCATTTAAAAAGATTTGCATTGTTTAGTTTTCACTGTTAATAAATTAAGTATTAGTTTTAATCCTAGACTTAATTTTACACTGAAGTGCTTTTGAGCATTTACAACTGGTTATTTCACTAAGACTATGTTGTATCACATGGCTCTTATACTAAGTTTTAATGGAATTCTAAAATTATCATAAAGTTCATTTAAAATGTACTTGCATAAAACAGTCATTTGCAGATAGAAATGTGATGGTTGTTGTAATATTTATATTATACAAGACCCCATAACTGTGGAGTATATGTTAATGCATAAGGCAAAGAGGAGCTGGGCCTTAGAGGGCATCATCCTTTTGAATGAGAAGTGACCATCAGGTAAAACAGAAAAACAGAGAATACACTCCAGTACAGAAGTCTATTTCTCCATTCATATGTAGGTTCTTGAATAAGAGATAAAAATTGTTATTTCCTAGCACCCAGAAGAGTGTGGCTGGGCCTAGAAATTAATGTTCAAATCTAGATAATGGCTATTAGAGGACCACTGATGAAAAGCAGATGTGATTTTCAGGATGCTGGGAGAATACAAAAAACAAAAACTTGTTGAATAGTGTGGACAAATTGTTCAAGCTGAATATTTTACAGTGCCATGAGCAGAGGGAAGCAGAGACAGTGTGACAGCATGGCCGGAGAACCACAGAACACCAGGACTTTATTGTCATCCCTGAGGGAAATGAGGGCAAAAGGAACACAGCCTTTAGGTAGAGCCAGAATTTGATTAAGCTAAAGGCAAAAGTAATGTCCCATGAAGACTATTTTGGAAACAAAGAAGGCTGAGCATGGAGATACTATAAATAACCAGTAGCCTTTTCTATTGTTTGCATCACTGTGCAAAAGCAAGAAAAATGGGAAAGAAAAAAGTCTGGAAGCTAGTGTTGCACTAAGGACAAAAGAATGGAGTTTTGAATCACAGAGATGCAATTTAGTACTCTGTATTCTGTAGATATGCACATAGAATGTTAGACACTCTACAATTAGAGTTGTTGGAACATTCTACTACAAATTCAAGTCAAGAAATGTTGACTTCACGCTGAAGGGGTAAGCTGCCTTTCTGCTCTCAGAAGAGATAACTCTGTGCCTTGCAAAGATTCTGGGAATGCTCACTTTGCTGACTGTTCTCACCTGGAAGATTCAGTTTTGAATATTTATTATTCTGAAATGACTGGAAGTATTGAAGGGCTTCCTTTCCAGAAATTAGATATAGTATATCTGTTTTAAGGAATAATCTTTCCTACCATTAAAATTTTAAATTTTTATTTCTTATGTATTTGTGTGATTTGGGATGACACGTTTTGGTACTGATAAACAAACTGAAAGCTATTATTTATTAGAACAATAATATATGCAACCATGCTTTGGATGTTTATATGTTACTCTGCATTGTGTTAAGCATGTCACACACCTTCCATCAGTTAACCTTGACAATGATAGTATATTGGATTCCCCTGTTACCAGTGATTAAAGGGGACTATAAATGCTAGTAACTTGTACAATATTGCACAAACAGTAGTGGTTAACTGAGTTAACATTTAGACACAGCTTTGTTTAGAACCCTGACTCCTTTAAAACTTCTTTCCTAGCTGCTTAGGTCCACATGTGTGCACTCATTTTGGAACACATGTAATAGGAAAATGGTTTTGCTGTAGTAGAATGTCACACAATTCTCCAAGACTTTAAACAATGGCTAAATTATGGCAAAATTATGGCAATTGATTATTCAGTAGAAAGTCTCTGCAATGCATTTTTAAAACTTGACTTGTAAATTGTAAAATAAATGTAAAATATTTCTTAGGTTAGTTGTGCACAAGAAATGCAATTGTTTTTAAAAATGCAGCTATAGAAGTATCAGTAAAATTTATTAAATAAAAAGTAGAGAATAAGAAAATTGCCACTAATTTAAAACTGTATAGGCTTCATTGATTTTATATTCACTTGTTTGTTATCTGAAATAAATGGACAATATACCATTCCCTCATTACTATTTTTCTGCTTTTAATTTTGTATGTGTTTTCATTATAACTTTAATGGGGGGTTTTCTTGAGTGTGTGTAGGATGGGTGGGAAGAGAACTTTATAGAGTTCTGGTGGGAATTAGAGTAACTTTCCATGTGTGTATGATTTGCCAAAAAATTCACTGTATATCTGGAGCCAAAATTGCACTTTGTGTTTCATGGGGTTTTGGCTGATTTCCTGTCTGTTTTCTTCATTAAGCTAGTGCTCTCAAGGCCGGAAGTACCCATATTATATGTCCAGAGAAGAGCCAGACCAGATGGGAACTGCGTGAAAGCTACCAGTTATCTTGCTAATTGTGCCAGCTAGAACCAGTTGTATTGCATTAAAAAATGTGGAATCCAACAACTTAGCTGTTCACACTCAATTAGCAGTGTGCTAGAGATTGGAAAATTCAAGCAAGGAGTTCATGTGCCTGAGGAAGTGACAGCTGCTTCCTTACCCAGCACTTAAAATCCATGCAAAACTTTCTTAATAAGGACTGCGATAATGAATAATTTTCACAAAGATCATATATGCTGTATTTTTAACTCACTATTAAAAAAACCTCATAAAGAAGACATTGATGTTCTGTCTACTTTAACATTCTTTATCTAGCAAACAGAATTTAGAATCAAAGTAAGCCACACATTGTTGAAATATTTTAGAAAGTAAGGAAGAGAGAAAGGAAGAAAGAAACAAAAGAATCAATAGAGAAAGGCAAAAAAAAAAAAAAAAAATAGGATGAAAGACAACAGTTAACATTTTATCATAAATGAAGGTAGTAAATCATATCAACTACTGAAGACTCAGGTGTTACATTTATACAGGAGCTTTAAACAGGAACTCACTTCACTGGCATTTTGCATTCCACTATTTGCCTGTCACAGACGATGCAGTTTCTCTTTCTGACTGATCTTCAAGCTGAAGGTAACATGAGAGTAAGAACATTACATTTAGTATGCAAATATCTGTCCCTGGGTTACAAGTTGGCATTTTTTAAGTCATACTAATCTCAGCTTTTGTCATTTTGTTTTTTCTGGTCAAAACATTTTAACTTCTAAGGAACAAATAATTCTTTGAATAAAAGTGACATTTCTCTGAATCAGGCAAAAAAGATAACTATTCCATTAGTATAAAAATTCTGCTAGTTTACTTGCTAAACTTTATATGCATTCATCACCATGACAACTAGCATTTTCAAGATGTTCAATATTATAATATTATAACATGCGCTTAATAATCACCTTTATGTGATTATTATGTGTAAAGATCATTTTCCTCTAATCTTTGATTTTGTGAGACAGGCTCTAATTTTTGCCACATGTAAACAACCACTCAAAAAAAATTACTGATATATACAAAACTGTTCTAGCAAATGCATTATACTGTTCCCTGCAATTTGTTCCAGCTGCTCATGGCTTAGTACTAGCATTGTTTTCTCTAATATATTAAACAATGAATTGTATATAACTTAAGGCCATATATCTTAATCCAACACTGATGATTAAAATAATGTCAGTATATTTATCAAAATAAAGCCCAAATGCTGGTGTTTTAGTAAATAATATTTGGTACCCCTATATATGGTTTGTTCAGCTTTGATAGCAATATAACAACAGTAATAGTAGTATAGATAGGCGTCCTTTTAACTTGGAGTTGCAACATCTCTGTCTCATTGCTGTACAAAAATCCTACTCTGTGAATGACCGCAGAGTACTGATACTAATGGAAGTAGAAGTGATGACCTAAACAATCAGGGTATCAAGTAGCTAAATCATCAATTCACTCAATTC